TGAAATTCCTTCAGATTCAGGCATGTTGCAAACCGCTTGTACAGATACGTCAGATACGATCAAAACCCACCAGTTCTCAAACCAGAACCTGCACGAAGAGCTATAAAGAGGGCACTGGCATGTCCGGCGCGCCCTTATCCACGCCACTGTTACCATCTGCACCATTTCCAGATGATTCCGGCGCCTCGGCATTCAGCTGTCGATATCAGCTTCCTAGCCTCGACTTCTATGCAGCTTTGGTAGCGTCATGTGATGGAAATCAGATTTGCATTCCTACATTGCTTCAGCCCGATGAGATCTGTTTTCTTTGAAAGTTGTTGTTGATGTCAACACGATTGATCCTGGCATGCTTTCGCTAGGCTCTACGAGGCCAACAAGGGCGCAGTTCCCGAATACGGACCGCTTGTTCGCAGACCCTGCCGCTGATGAGACAACCGATCCGACGGAAAACGCGAGGGGGTTGCCTGGACAAGTATCGTGCGCTGGATTCTTGCTTGTGGCGTGCTTGGTCGCGATTACGATGATATGTCGGGAGGCTATCCAAGGTGCGACGAAAAGCTTTTACTGCAGCAAGGATGGTGAGCATGTGGATGCCAACAGTCCAGCTCCTCTTGGTTGCGCGATACCCTTGGCGACAGCGGCGATTCTTTGCAACCTCGCCGTCGTTGGAGGTTTGGTTTGTGTGGGCCGCTTTGCGTGGCGGTCTGGAGGCTTGGCTGACGGAGAAGTCGCAGAACTTCGACGCGCAAGTTTGATTGCTGATCTGCAAGTGTGGCGAAGCATGAGTGCCAAGGCACAGGGCATGCTGAAAGTGCGCTGCGGTTCCGTAATTTTTGCCATGCACCGGACTGTCTGGGCTATGCGACTTTGGATGACCTGGTAAGACGGAAAGTAAGGGGCTTCAGAGCCACGAAAGCCTGATTCAGTGGAATTGCAGGTCCTGCTCATGGCCGGCTTGACGTACTTGGTTGCTGGGCCTGCGTGTGCAGGCTTGGCGAAGCTGGCTCTCATTTTCCTCGCCACAGGTTCTGCGACTGAAGCTAATCGCAATCGCGTGAGACGTAGCAGTTCTAGCCCGTGGCATATAGATTCAATCGTGCCCACTTTGAGTTGTCGTTGCCTGACGACAGAGCTAGTAAGTGGAGTAGAGATCAGGTTTCATCACGCTCTATGCCACGGCGCTGTTTTTTGACCAGGATTTTGATCAGGTCCGTATCAACTGGCTGCGAATTGACGATTGCTGTGGCTGTTGCACATTAGGCAGCATATCTTACAATCTCAGAGCACTGCTTGTATGTGCCAGACTTTGCGGAGGTGCGGATGTCACCGAGACTAATGAGATTTCTTGTTGTGTACATCCTCGTCGGCTTGACGTTCACTGCGCTTGCCTGCGGAGCCACACAAAGAGCAGGAGGAGCTACTTCAAAGCGAGGTGCAGACATTGGAGCTGTTTCGTTCTGGTGCTGTGCTCACATCCTCTCGCCGCTGTGCTGTGACAAAGTCAGGTCTTTCTGGATCGCGCGATCCAGGCGAGACCAGTGGTCTCGGCGGAAACGTCGTAGGCAGCTCCGGAACACGTGTCCCTACATTCATGTATTCCGACTTCACGTCAGTAGTTACACACTGGGTTACACATGCAGCACGTAAGTCTGTCTAGTACCCTACGGCTCCTGCGGGATAGCTGACTGCTGTTGCAGCTTCGGCATTGTTCTTGCCCACATTTTAGCGGGACTCTGCAAGTTGGCCCCACCCTGCAGGCCCTGGTGATGCGGATTACTTCGCAAATGTTTGCACAGTTCTGGGCTGGCAGCAAGTTGCGCCACCCAGGCCGTTGCCGGTGGAGCGCAGGAGACTCGCGCCATGCATGATTTGGCACAGGTGCACTATTCCCTTGGATTTCGCCTCGGGTGTATCTCTATGGTCGACGCCTAAAAATGTTTTGCGCGACGAGCGTGAGGCAGTCATGGAGTGAGTGTGTGTGTGTGTTTGTGTGTTGATTCATGTCTTCGGATTCGGGGCTGCAAGGTGGGCTGCATCGCCAGTTTTCGCGGTACTGCTCCCCACGCCGAGGGAGTCCAACGCAGCAGGAGGCTTCGGGGGATGCTCACGGAACAGTGCAAGAGGCTGTCAAGAAAGGAGTTTGACATCTTGCACTCGGGAGGCACGTACCGACGCTTCCTGCAACGGTGGCGGAAGCACATCGACGGGGTTGTGCTGCTTGTCGGATGCTCAGCACCGGGTTAGACTCTCCTCAACAGCGAGGTAGGTCAATTGTCAGGTCCTCATTGTGCTTCTGGTGCTTTGTTACCAACCGTGCCGAACTGAGAGCGCACGTGGTCGGCGGTAACACGGCCGTAACACGGCGGTAACACTGTAGGTTGTATCGCTTCTCTTGAACTTTGCGTGGCTCGAGGTGTGCGCGCATAGCGCCCATTGCATATGGCAATGCTGAAATGGGAGCCTGGGGGGCCATGCCTGCAAGTTGAAGAGGTTCAGTGCTCATTGACTTGCCTTGCCTTAGAGTTGGGTTTTCGGCCGTTTCAGACCGCTGACGCAGTTGAGAGTCGACCAAACATCGCGAGAACAGATGGCGAAAAATGTTGATGATGCTTTGAGGCGCTTTGAGTTGTAAGCACCCCGCCAATACCAGAGGCTCAGCGTAACTGGAGGCAAGAATCATGCTGTTCGCGAAACGAATGTCCTCGTGATAAGCTGTTGCATTTTGCATGACATCAATGCAGGGTGATGTCTCTGAAACTCTTGGGCCTCTACTTCCAAACGCAGCTGTTTTCCGGCGTGTGTTGAAGCCAATTGTCGAGATGCAGCCCTTTGACGAGCATCTCATCTGCTGAACCAGTCTTTCGTTCTTGCGTGCGAGTCACAGGAATAGTATGTGTCCTGTCGTAGTACGACTGTGTACAGTGTTTGGGAGGTAGCAGTCGGAATAGTATGTACGGCATCTGAAATGAGTACTTAGTAGTAGTACGCGATGTACTTGTAGTAATTTAAGTTATGTTGTTAGAATGTACTTAAACCAATACTTGACGGAAATTGTTAGGCTAACCCGGCGCACTTGTTACAAAATCATCGCAATCTTTTTCACTAGGAACTGGCTCGAATATTGGCTCAGCCTCCCATAGGAGTTTTCGTGTAGAGTCGTGATTCCGTTAACTGCGAGCTGAGCCTGCACACAGCACGGCATCGAATGTTCTTGCAAAAATAGAACTCTGGTGAATGCCTCCCGCTGCCAGGTTTCCTTGCTGACGCTCCTGCGTCGGGTGTCGCCGCTGAGCTGTGACGGGTGGTCCCGGGCTAGTCTTTGTCGGGTTTCTGAAATGGTGTAGTTTATCAGTTCGATGTGTTCAGATTCACGACGGCACTTCAACTGACAGGTGGAGGGGTCCTTTGTCACACCTGCGCAATCCGCGCGGTCCCTAAGCGAGTTCTGCGTTTGCCTCAGAGCTTTCCAAAGCGACTGCTCTGCTCAGGCCTCCACGGCAGACCGTCGTACAATGCTCCGTGTGTTTGCAGGAACCCGAAGCCGCAGCTTTTCGGTGTTAGTTATGCATGATTGCTCATGATTGCTCTTTGGGACCTTGGCAGGACTTACAAGCTACGGAGGACTTGTGCCAGACGGCCTGTGGATGCCTCGTGGGTTCACCTTTGGCACCTGTTTCTTTTTCGACCTCTTGCGAAGGTGGCCATGAATTTCACCGCAGTTGCTTGGAGGACTCCGGATCTATAATCGCTCTTCTTGTGCCTGTTCGCGGGTTGTCGTGTGCTGCGCATTGTGCTGATGTTCCTTCTTGGGCTCGCGGTTTTGCTGACCATCACTGCTACGTTTTCGTCCGCTTCCTTGGTGTTTCCGTATTATGTGACTATCCCGCTGTCGTTTTCCGACTGGCCTTCCGCCCTATTTCTGAGAGTGTTGCAAACGCAAAAGGTCAATGCCTGCTTTCGATAGGCTTTCTAACTGGCGGTCATCCGTTCTTCGAAGAAAGACTCTGCTTGCCGGGCTTGCCTCAAAGCCAAACGGACGACGAAGCTCGAAGCGGAGAACCTGGAAGGACGAAGTCTGTCGATGCTTCGAAGATTCGACAAAAGGCCCATGGGAAGCACCAGGCGAAGGAAAAGCGGGGCATGGGCGGTGGCAGTGCCCCGAAATCCAAAGCAGAAGGCTTGCGATGATCCGCCATGAACCTCAACAGGGGCTGCAAAGTGTGGGAGCCGGGATGTGGCGCGCATGTTCGTGTGTAGAGGCTCAGATTGTCTTCGATCCAGGACTGGGTCCATTCCAAAAGATATCAACATCCTGGTTGCCCGTTGTGCTCCTTGATCGGCCTGTTACATGCTGCATGTTGGTTGAATGTGTTGGTTGCTGCTGCCTCCTTGAGGTAGAGAGTCTCTCGTCAAAGAGGACTCCGATCCAGCGTTCCCTGTCAGATGTCAGAACTGGCGGGAATCGGAGTGGCTCAAGGGAAGTCACGATTCCAGCCGAGGCATTTACTCCTGACGCGCGAGTGGCTCTTTTGACCACAGGCCCGAGCATTGAAACAAGCCGTACCACTGGTTTTGCCCTGTGCTCTTGCGGAAGGTCCTTTGCCAAAGACCATGGCAGGACATCGATGCGTTTAAAATGTTTGTGGAAGCGGCGAAGCCCGCCGCTCTCGTAGTACTAGGGGGCAGCAATTTGGTTCCGCAATGGCGTGTACAGTGTCTCTCCACCAGACGCCTGCAGGCAAGTTGTGGCTCACGAGGTTTCAAACTTCGCTTGGACAACAGCTTTTCGAAAACGTACAATGTACGAGCCCGACGCTGTTTCGCTTTTTGAGCACGACGTGAGGCTTGTCGAGTTTGCTCAAGCTCAGTGCAAGATACGAATACTTCGGCTTCAACTTCTCCAGATGTCGTTTCCCAGTTTTGAACGAAACCTTCGGCAGGTCCCCTTGTCACTACTAACGGCTTGACAGTTGGACATAGAGTGTCGCAGTTCAAGGTGTATGCATGCCTCCGAGTCCGATCGATGTCGCAGACTGGTCAATCCTGACCAGAGGGGTGGATTCGGACTGCGCAATCTGGTCGCGTCTGTGACTCTGGCTGCAAGCTATCTGCAGCTGTCACCGACTCTACTCGTGGCTACGACACTACTGCTGCAAGATAAGGCACGACACTACTGCTGCAAGATAAGGCAACAGTCCAGAATGAGTCCATGGATCAGAGGCAAGTTGAGAGGGCCCAGAAGAAGCTCGACAGTGAGTATGCAGGCTCTGGGGTCCCAGTGTGCTGAACCTGCTCTGAATGTGTCGTTCCTTTGAGGCAAGGGGATGCGTGCAAGCCTCATCTATGAAGTCTTCAGGAAGACACCGCAGCCAGGCAGCTTGAACGCTCTCCGACGCACACTAGTCTTGAGCTTTCCTTTTTCGGAAACGTGAGCCAGATGGGGCGAAAGCGCCTTCTCGCAAAACGTGGGAGAAGGCATCTGCTGCTGTTCGTGCTGTGTTACAGGATGCAGATGAGACTCCACTTGTCATTGTTCGCACACAAGTGTCATCATAGTCCGAATGCTTCCAAGCGCGCCTGCACGCAGCTGGGAGCCTGGAGAGAATTTTGTCTTTCTGAGTTTCGAATTGGCCCCATGAGGCTCGTGCTTGTCGACGCGTGACCTTCGATACCGTTGCTGTATGTTTTTGACCAACTGGGGTGAGGAGTCTGCTCTTCCGGGCACGATCCTTTAGACAGTCGTCGGTTGTAAAGAAATGACAGCTGCCTGCAAGGCTTTTCGTGTAGAAGATTCGATTGGGCCTTTGTCGTCCTTGCTTTCGCGTTTCGTTTGCTGTCAGAGCTCCGATCTCGTGCGTCGTTGCCGTGTGCCCAAGTGACAAGTGCCTTGCCTCCATAAAGCACAAGCCAGACTTTTCGCAACGTGCTTTCGAAACAAAGAGTACTGTCGATTCCCACTTCGGAAAGCAATGGCCTTGTAGGATGTCATGCCACTGTTCGTGCTGGTACTTGCAGTTGTTTCGGCCATTAACCACAAACACCGAGTCCACCCTTTAGCCACCTTGTCGACAAATGTCCGGCAGCAGCATTCGAACGCTGAAGAGGAACTCATGCGGGAATGGGCCAGTCCGAAGCAGATCCCATCCCAGACAGGGGGCGTTTCGGACGACTGGAGCGGGCTGCGGGTTGACTTGTCTCGGAGACCTTGACTGGCTTCTGTTTCTCGTCTTGACGGAAGTGGACACAGCGCCACATGTATCTTGATTAGAATCTCGATACATTCGTCAGAAGCGTGGAGTGAATGGCAGGTGCAACTTCGAGAGCCCGATGCTGAGCTTGACACGCTCTGGGCTCCCGAGCGGTGCAACTGCCATTGCGGCTGCCGCGCCGAGCTGGGCGATGGCGAGGGGAGCCGCTGCAAGGACGCTTCTCGCTGCAAGTTCCGACTTCGTCCTGCGAATCCTGAGTCCGCAGGACTGTCGCTCTCAAGGGCCAAGGTGCAAGCCTCGGACACGCACGAAACACTTGCAGTACTCCGATGCTGAATTGATGGAAGTTCCCGCTTTTTGCCGTCAAAATGATCCACAGCGATAGAGTTTTCGACGAAAGAAAGGCACCGGCGTTTGAAGCAGAGCCAAGCAGAGCAGAGTGTCGTGCTCGGCCGCTTTTGGAGAGTCCAATCTCAATCCTGCTGGGATCCCAGTACTAGTGCGGCACAGGCGTCGGTGGTGAGCAGTCTGGGACAAGGCTGGCTGCTGTTGCACGAGCTTGCTTTGCATAGAAAGTGAAATCTGGTTCTCAGTGCAAGGGCGGCAAGCAGCGGGGAGTCTCTGCAGTATGGCAATACGACGCAGCCAGTCCAAAAAAACAATCAGCTGTGTGTACCACTCACTACACAGCTTTTGCGGAACGGCCATCAAACAGTTCCACATGATGTGCGGAATCGATCCGACATCGCATGATGCGAAATGTTGGTTCCCACCTGAGGCCGTGCATGGTTTGCGACTGTGTGCAAGCCTAATCAGTCAACGCAGCATGGGCAGCCCCGACTAATAGCTACAACTTTTCCGCCATGGACTGAAAGATACACTACCAGAAATACTATCAGCTGTTCGACTGGAGCCGGTGTTGATGGCCAATATGCGTTTGATGGCCTGAGCTCCACTGTGAGCTGAAAGGATTGCCAATATCTTTCGGATTGCCTTTAGTTTATCCTAACTGCCGGATTCCAAGCAGATTTGTAGAAACTGGAAGTCTCCAGGCCCAGGAGTCGGTCCATGATTGGCAGCTCTCAGGGGGGGGATCCCACAAATCAATCCCAACTGGGTGAACCTCATGCTTTATGAGCCGCACCAGACAAGTTACGAAGGGTCCCTCTGACCAAAGTTGATGCAAGGATCTGCGTGTTGTGGCCTCACCTACATCACGGTTTTTCCACAGCCTATGTCCCGCCAGTGTCGAAGCCCACAGCAACTGCTTCGAGGGGCCGCCAGAGCTGAACCGGGGGACCACAGCATTCATGCGAGTGGTTACGGTCAGGGGGACATTCCACCACTGCACGTGCCCAACTTGCTTTTCTTCCTGCCAATTCCTTGCTGAACTGGCGTTCGAAGCTGTTCCTACTTTTAATGCTGCCTTCTCAGTGAAGGTGGGAAAGTTTGCAACCCCGAGCCCTTTACAGGCTCTTCCGCAACTTAGTCCTATCCCACGCTCTTCTTGTTATTATGGCTGAAACGTTAGTCCAGCTGAAAGGGCTGCTGCCGGGCAGTCTCACTTGTGGACATGTTTTGCACGTCGAGAGAGAAAGTCTCAAAGAGAGACAGAGTGATGCAATCATCCGGTGTTTCTTACGCTGCCAAGCTTGTTGCCAAATGTTCGGTTCATGCAGAGGCGATGGGAGATCTCCAGAACTGTCCTCGTGCTCGGGTTGATTGTTGGTACGTGGCATGCAACATCGAATGGGTGCTTGCTTGCTTGCTGGCTGATTTGCTTGCTGAATGTAGAAGCGACTGAACGCTGTTGGCATCGGGGCTCAGAAAACAGCAGGGTTGAGACTTTGATGTTCCCTGCTTGGGTTTCCTCGGTGCTCTCTGTGGTGAAAGAGGGAGCAAGCTCCAATTGGTGGGGGCTTGGCTGCCCTTCTTACTGCCAGGGCTCAGGACCGGTACTTCTTCTGGTCACCTTCGCGGCTGGGGTTTTCTGTGGGATTGTCTTAGCACTGTTGGTGACAGGATATATATATTTGGTTCTATTCCGAGCTCCTGCATCTTCGAGCAGACAAGAGGAACGACAGGAGAGGGGGCCCACTCGTATTGGCCCCAGGTCTTCGCGGCTTCGAGGGTACTTGCATGCCGAGGGTCAGCGTGAAGATTGAGGGTGTAGAGATAGTAGTGGAGACTCAGGGCAGTAGCTCGCAGGTGCCTCCTTCGGAGGCTGCATCTCCTTCCTCTACCGGCTCCTTCGTTCTTCTGCCTTCCTCGGCCAGCCAGGCCTCCCCTCTGTCGGGTCACTTGCCCTCCTCGTCCGCCGAACCCACCCGTGTCTGTGGCGCCCCCCGTGGGAGTGAGGAAGCCCCTTACTCCAGCGCCCCCCAGCTGCCTTCGCCCTTTCCTGCGTCTTCTTCGCTGCCTGAGTACCCCTTGCCGGGCTCCGAGCCCCCTGCTCCTGCAGGCCAGCCTTCTGATCCCCCTGCCTTCATCCTTCAGACCGCCCGTGTTCTGACAGCCTGCAACCTAAGCCCTCGCGAGAGGATTGAGCGTGCTTGGCGGGCCGGTGTCTGTGCTGGTTTTGTGCTGCGAGGTGAAAGGACCCACGTCGACGCTACCATCAAGCTCTCCGTCCCCAACAGGTTCTACTGTGTTTTGCGGACCCGTGAGGTTTCGGACCCCTTGGTCTTGCGGAGCTTTGCTGAGTATAAGAGGGTCCCTGGAATCCTTGAAAAGGAAGGGTCTGTGTCGCACGCCTTCCCGAGTGAAGCCGAGGCCCGCGCCTACTTTGCAGGCGCAGGTGCTCTGTACCCGAACTAATGGATTTCGCAGCCCTAGTGGCTGCCTTTAGCGGTCAGGTGGATCCCTTGGAATTTTCCTGGCCCCCTGCTCCAGGCCCTGACGGTCAGAGGACATGCCTTGCCTACGTGCTTATGACAAGGCAGGACGGATTCCTGCTGTGTCTGCCAGCTGCCTTTTTCTCGCAAGCCGAGCTTACCGCCTCGGACAGCCCGGATGGGCCCCTTCGCCCAGGCCCTCACCTTCAAGTGCAAGCCCCCCCTGTGTCTTTTACCGAGGAGGGCGACTGGCTCCCGGTGCCGCATGGCGAGCCTCTTTCTGCCGTTGTCGTGGACTTTCAGGCCTCTGCTTCGCAACTGCTGGCCCCTCTCGACCTCGAGGTGTTTTTAGGTCAGGCTTTTTCAGACGAGGATCCCAGCCTGTATCCCCTTGCAGGCGAGGTTTTGGCCCAGGCTCGTCAGTGGGTGCTTGCCGAGGGGGCCTCTTCAGCCTACCAGTCTGCCGTCTCGGACGGCCCCAAGGCGGCCACTGCAGATGCCCACCGCCCGCCTCGCCCCAAGCGACCGACCGTCGCACAGATCGCAAAGCAGCAGGCCACCATGGCCGAGGCCGTCGCTCAGTTGAGTGCACAACTGGCACAACTGCAGATGCAGCGCGATGGATTTCGACCCGACCCCGAGGCAGAACAGGCTGCTCCGGCGGAGACCGCCCCGGCCGCGAGTGGACTTTCTCTGCGGCAGGCGCCTCTCTCCTCGATGCTGCAGGCCCCCCTGGAATCAGCTAGCAATGACCATTTCCATTTTCTAACCATGCACCCCCCCCTAGCACCCCAAAACATAACAACCTATATCTCAACCTTCAACCCATCCAAGATCCATAGCTAGAACCCTAGGAATAACTCACC